AAGATGTTATTCTTGATTTTTAATGTTTAATGTTAATGTTAATTTAATGTTATTGATTTTGATTCATTATAAAGTATGGTGTAACTTGGGGTGAGATGTACAGTACGCACTGAGATCTGATCTGATACCGGACCATAATGGACTGTCATCTGAGCAGTACGGTAATGGTCCTGTAGTTTAACAGTTGTCATGCCTGCTTTACACATCTGCCTTACATGCGAAAAGTCCAGGGTTTGAACCCCAGAGGAACAACATACCTAATGGTGCCTTCCATAACAGCGTGTTCATCTTGTTGTTTGGTGAAACTTTTGTCCAAGAAAAGGCAATGTAGATATTGGTATGTACTTGTAAAGATTATCTTGACCACATAAGGCATTTGTCCTTACTCTGGGGTAATATATACCAGAGGTGATAAAAAGATTAAAAGGGTGTTATTTTCACTGCAATATCTCAACAGTAGAGGAAAAATCTGCTGTGGATTGTCTCTCCCTGCACCTTTTGTAATATTTTCTCTGAGATTTATTGCGAGGAAAGTGTATCTGACTTAGCTGCAGGAGGCACGTCTGAATGTAGAAACTGTAGGCTGCAGGAGTAGCTGTATTGTGCTACCCGTTAGTATTACAGTGGCGACGAGGTGATATGAAGTGTTAGTTGAATGCATGGAAAAAAGTTCATGTTCAGACAATAAAGAGCCATTGATTGTGTTGTGACTCATTGGTGAGAGGGAGGATCCAGTCTATATTGTGGTTTACAGTGACTAACGGTTAGAAGAATTTGAACGGAGACATGAGGTTACATTTGAGAAGTTTGCCTCAGTGGTTATTTTTACGTGTCTGTGTGGAAAATGGGTGTCTGGTATTTTTTAAATCAATATGTCCAGCAAATCATTAGTACATCAGGGATTTGATCTTTTTTTTGACTGACCAACTCAATCCAATGTCAGATGTTGTCTGTGTGTCACCTTAAGAAAAGGTCGGTATAAAAGGATTTGTCAGTAAAATGGTGGTGTTTTACAGTTGTTTGAGGGTTGAAATCCTCTTAACATTGTACTCCAGATATGGGCCACTGAACGGTAATCATTTATTCCCAGATCAATTGTTCCCGGGGCAGTTATATGGTTGATCCTTTTGAAAAGGATTTGGTCAATCGGGGTCAAGTTCTGAGGACATTTTTGAATAGGTTTTTGCTGAGTTGGTCGATTAGCTATGACAGAGTGAATCAACTTTTGTTGGAAAAAGTGCATTACTTTAGAACGCCAGCTGATTGAAATCACTCAGACCTCCTAACCTCTCCTCATAAACACACAGCATTTACACAAATATTTACCTCTTGGTTTTATTGATACTTGTGTTAGCTGAAGACGTCTAAGTTTGAGGGTAGCCCAGGTGCAATAACTGCACTCCAATATTTAATGAAAGATAATTTCTACAACATAGACTTGTTTACAATGATTCAAGCCAACACCTTTAATTTGAATAAGACCATCAGTAAACGGCATGTTTTCTTTGTTCCAATACTCTATCTTCACATTACTTCAGTTGAATGCATTCTCAAATTGCAGTTCTACACTGACTGTAAAGTTTGTCTCCACTGCAGTTTTCCCCCAACTTCTAAAACTACAGTAATATCTCAGACCTCTGAAATCCACAAATGTTTTACCACTTTTACAGCACAGGTTGTTTTCAAAAAGCAAGTAGAGAGGCAAGACCCTCTTGACCCCGTTTCACATCTCTGTATAGAAGAAAATAATAGTATGTTTTACTCCCTACAGTTTTGTGAAAGAGTAAAGTCGGCTCAGTGATTGACTGGCGACTTGCAGAGTGTGTACCATTCTTCTCCAACATCTCTGGCCTTTAGTGCATCCTCGACAGGTGCACGGTAAGAAATGTAGCCGTTTGAATAACAGGGATATGATGAGTGGGTCAGAGCGCTCCGGCATCTCGATTAGTTAGCTGCAAAGCTAACGTCGTGACATTTACTGAACTATCTAGTACATTTTTATATTATATTACATTAGCTTGGACTATATCTTATTTCAATAAATATTTTATTATATTAAGAAAATCGCCTCTGAAAGGCTTATCAGAACAAGTAAGGTGGATACGACTCAAGACTTTTCTTTCTCTCTTTTCACGTTAAGTTCAGGTGTAAACATGAAATGTAAACACAATTAAAAACCCTGAATTAACCAACAGAATTATACGATTATCCCTGTGACATTCATACTCAGTTCACTATACTAACAATGCTAATTTACAGTCACTCTCTGACACAGGCGTACCAGTCCAGACGATGGATTAAGTGAAAATGGATTAAACAACTGCACATTCTAATCAACTGCACCTGCTCCACACCTATTTAACTCAGGCCTACTCATCTGTGAGGCACATTGACAAGAAAATTAATATGATCAAAACAAAATGACAAAATGTATCACTTATAATGATATATACAGCGAGAGCAATGTTCCAACTACTGGAAACTTGAAGTGCAGACAACATAAGGGTCAGGGGTTGTCAGTGTCACGGGACATCTATGTCAGGGGTCGCCAACCCCTGGTCCTTGGACCAGTGCCAGTCTGTAGGTCCTTTGGTACCAGGCCAAAGACCAGTGGGACACAATGAAAAATGTACTTCAGTTTTACTGATTAACCTGAGTTTCAAAACATAGGCCGTGCAGACTCTGATACTAACAGAATTAAGCCTAAAATATGTTTTATTTCAAAAAATGTAGTTATCCCTGAAATAATGGCACAATATTACCGGTCCACAGTAACGGCTGGTACCGGCCGACCGGGGTCCACTGATCCATGTCATATTTCTGTCACCTCTGGCCCTCGGGTTAAAACTTAAATGCGCTGAGCATAGCCGGCACGAAAACAAAGTAATTCAGACGATGTAGTGGTTAATTCCTGGAGTTATTGTGTTGAAGCACGAAACAAGCTGTTGGTGTTTTAAATGCAAATACGGACATGAAGTGAGACAAGCTCAGCATCTGCTCTGACAGAGATGCTGTGCTGCAGGTGTCACACACACTAATCCTTACAGATACTGTACATCCAAACTGCAACTCTCAGTCAATATTATGACCGGACAATAAACATTTAACCGTGTCTGACTAAATACCATAACACTGTATATAACAACAATGTCATTGTGACAACAACAAGTGTTACTGGGGATATCTGATCAAATCAAAATGAAACCAGAAGTCAGGTCACATAGAGGTCAGGTCTAATATTTGTAGTGCATAAGAAAGAGCGAGGTTTACTTTTCAAACAGAATAGAATAGGTTTTGTTTAGCTTTATTTGATCTATTTTGGCCCGAGCTTTTAAAATGTAATTTAAGTCTAGCGCACTATCCTACAACATGATGAAGCAAAAATAGCAATTAAAACAAGATATAGTTGCTACTGAGGGGTAAAACGCAGACATGAAACTAGGCCACATTAATGTACTAACATTACTAATTAAACCAATAATAATCCAAATAGAAAAAGCAACTCCAGATAAATACTGGTCTAAAAAGGCAATTTAGGCAACAATGATATAAATGGATTTCACTCTGTTATTCTAATTTTTTTTTTACTGTATTTGACTGAAGCAAAAACCAACATTGAATGAGCCAACATTAAACATTATTTACATTATTTACATGTCTGAAAGAGCAAACATATCAAAATAAAAATAAAAAGGCGTGTTTTCATTGTTATGCGTCACAGTTTCCTTTTCTGTGCCATGTGTGTATTTGTTATTTAACTGTAGTAATTGAGTTGGGCACAGTATTATGCTAGAAGGTAGAAGCCATCTGGTTGGAAATCAAGGTAAGAGTGATTAAAACATGTAACTGCTGCTCACTGGGTGTCTGCTCTTTAGATCATTCTCTGTGAGCTCCCTGCAGTTCTCACATTAAGTAGCTAATGGAAATATAGCTGCTGTAATTTACATTTATAATTTGGTGCGGAAATGACTTTGTATTGACTACTGTATGTGTGGTTTAAATTTGAATAGCCCTAATTCTTTCATTTGTATATATTGTGGCAATAGGAAGTAATATACTGAGGAGTTCACTTTGAAAGAGTAATTCCATTGACTATTCTATTGACTAAATGTATACTGTATTTAAATGGCTAAACAATATAACAAGGGTATCAACCATATTTGGGCATTTTTGCACTGACAGTTTAAAAAACATCAACAACAAAACAGAACAGAAGTTGTGGCTAAATATTTCAAGGTTGTCAGACGCTAAATTTACATTTCAGTAAGTTGTTAAAGTAGATCTACATGTCAAAAAATCTAAGCAGGTGCTGTGTCAAACTCATGGTCCATGGGCCCAATGTGGCCCGCCACATCACTTTATGTGGCCCACCAGAACTTATCACACATACGGTTGTCCTAAAATGGATGTGCTTTTTTTAAAGAGTATTGTTTCTGAAAGGTTATAATACAGTGGTCAAATTCTGCGATTAATTTAAAATTCTTCTTTCTTGAATTCTAATCAACCCACATCATGGCCACTCAATGGACTGTTAAATAAATGTTAACCCTGTTGGTCACTACGGCCCCTTGCATGGTTGAGTTTGACACCCCTGATTTAACTGAACAGGTGTGGCTGCTGATGAGAGACATTTCACTGCATCCTGTTTATGCTAAACGGTTATTTACAAGCACAAACCAGGGTTCAACAATTAGACTGAGTCATTCAAAGACTGAGAAATAACTCAGCAGAGATTCCATAAACAGCTGCCAGCTACGCTCACAGTGACTGTTGTTTTTTTTCTCTCAAAGTGACGGAGAGTTGTATCAACTCATTCATGCAGCAAATAAAGCTGCACATAAGGGGATCTAAAATTTACTCAAGGTGTTACACCAAGTCTTTTTTTTTTTTTTTTGGCTCTTGACAGCCAGAGCTTGACACTCGAATTTAACACCCTGTGGATTTCACAGGAGACTGAACCCGATAAGTTTGCGACGGCAGCCCAGAAACATGCTACTCACTCAGACATTCGTTGGCAGAGTCCCCAGTCGCCCTGGCCCAGGGTCTGTCCTGGTAAAATGGGTGACACCTCTGGCAGTCAGCTCCCTCTGTGTGATGCTGGCAGGAACAAACCAAGGCCCCGTGTTCCCCTTCCACACACTCACTGGCGTGACCGTTACACTTACACCTAAAGGAAAACACAGGAAGGAAAAGGAAAACAAGACAGTTAAAAACAGGTACCACACACACACAAACACAAAAACCACACAGACACACTTGACTCTGCTGATTCAACCGTATATGTAAAAAAAAAAAGAATACAGAGGATGAAGGAGAAGGAGGAGGACAGAGGGAAGGATAAAGTCAGGAAGCATTTCCACCAAATTGACCTGTCACTTCCCATTATCTTTAATGGGCAAAAGATGGGCAGAGACTAGGAGAGGATTCTCATTTCACTTCAGCAACTGTAGTATGTTTCACTGAAGTCACTTACAGGTACAGTGGTGCAGGAGTGAAATGACAAAAACATGTCAATTTCTGCTTTATCAGTGCTTTTACGTAAGCTGATAAATTATTAAAATGATTTAATTAAATCTGAATAGAAATCTGTATATTGTTGTGAGAGACAAGGATCTTTTTAAGGTGAAAACATTTCACTCCATAGAGTTGATGGATTCTAGCCATTTTAAACATTAGATAATTTGTGAAACTCTTTCCTGCAGTGTGTACAAATGCCGTGATGAGTATCAGCTCATGTCGGTGGATTTAGAGGGTGGATTTATTGGATTGGCTTAAGCATTAAAATGTGTTAATTTTTTTTAATCTGATTTATTTCAGAAATTAATCACCATGAGAAAATCTTTGATTTTGACAGCACTTTCAGGTTCAGTCCAATACAGAATAAATGCACTTCATTTGAACTCTTCCTTCTGTGTCTTTCCTGAGAAGCATGATGGCATGTTGTGTGTGCCGCTTCATGACAGAGTTGCCGACTGTGTCGATGCCTATGATAGGAAACACAGATGCTGAGTGGCAGATTCTGTCAAAGTCAGCCAGCTGCCCTGGATCCAGATCCAGTACATGCCAGCTTGAGGCTCAGACCGGCTTGTTTCTATGTTCACCAGGATGACAAAAGCTAGCATTTCAAAATCAATACAAAAATAAAAACAACAACTCTGTGCTGGAGCAGAGAGCAGACTGTTGGAGAGGAATCATTTCAGCCAAATATTAGGGGAACCTTGGTGTTGTTAACTGTACAGACAGCGTGTTGAATTCCTAAGGTACACCAACATAAACCATACAGCTTTTTTTCTTGTCTATCTTTAAAGTCTGTATTGTGTGATGGTGACGTTGATACTTATGTAGATTGCTGGACTGGGAACACTGGTGTAGGTGTAGAGGCATGTGTCCTTGTATTGAAAGCAGTGCTGTGAAGCAGGCCTCTCCCTCAGGTGTTGTGACATTGATGTGTAATTTGTCATGCTGCAGCTGTGATCCTGAGTGTTTATGACAGGTGTCAGATCAAGTTTATATTCTTTCTGAAGGCTTTATCTCAACTCCTTAATCTTCCACTTCTTCCCGCCGCTCCAGAGTGCAGTCTGGTCCTTGGCACTACGTCCTCTCTTGTTACTTTGAGTAATAAGAAGTTGGAGGACTTCAGCGATAGAAATCAGACAGCTAGGTGTTGTTTTTCTTTCTTTCCATCTTTCTTTTATAATCAGTTTTCTAAACACGCTACCTTATGGGTTCCATGGATGAAGCACGTGGTTTAATTGAATGCTGTTTCTCATTAAAACATATTCTGTTAGATCACCATCACACAGACCCCCTCCCTCCGTCACATCACGTCCATCCTCCAACAGCAACAAAACTCTTCTTTTCACATTTACAGGCATCCATCACCTCACCTGTCGATACCTGTCTAACTTACTCCTCATCCCCACACCACCTCACTCTCTCAGATCCTCTTCAGGTCTTCACCCCCCTCCCTCCTCCTCCTCACCATGGAAAGTAAAGCCTTTCAGTCGTTTTACTCTCTGGCTGTGTCACTCCCGTCCACCAGACCTTCGCAGCCCTGACTCCCTGCCCCTCTTCAAATCACAAACTCTAAAATCTTACTGTTAGGGTTTGCTTATAATTTATAAATCTGCCATCTCACATCCCCCTCTGTAGATCATTCTCTGTTTCCCCTTCACCTCACGTCTTTTATTTTACTGTTTGGTTTAATCCTTCCAATGCATTTTTATCTTGTGTTCTCTTGTGTTTTGTGTATTTCACTGTACTGTAAAGTATACTTGGGTGTCATAATGGAAACTTATAAATTATGATTATCGTGATTGTTGTTGTTGCCATAGCTACAGCCTCCACTGAAGCACTCCACTCTGGTCAGCGAGTGTCCACTGAAGCACTCCACTCTGGTCAGCGGGTGTTGTTTTAAATGAACTATAAAACCAATTGGACTTGACTGAACATTGTGCTGACGTCTAAAGAACTCTGTCTCTCTCCTGTGTACTGCATACATTTGATGCCAGATGTTGGTGTCTGTGTTGGGTTTATCTCATAAAACCTCTCTGGGCAGCCATGTTTTTGTGCATGTGTGCATTACAACAATATTAAAAGTGGAGTATGCAGAAATTTGAGAAGTTGATAGATTTCTGGGTGTTGTTTCACCAGATGAACGAAGGGCCATGTATGGTCAACAGCTCTTAAGACTAAAAGAAGAGAAATGGGGGCAGAAAATCAGTATTCAACGGATTTAAGATTGTTTTGAAATGACCTTGGTGTTTTGAGTAAAAATGGAGGCATCGCTCCCTCCACCAGATGTCGCCCTTGACAACATGCCTATGTAGCCTATACAAAGAACTGCCTCTGAGTAAGAAGATGCTGTTTACGTCTATTATTAATACAAAATCAGACACACAGGGATTTTGGCTGTGTGTGTTTGTGTGTGTGTTTGTGTGTGTGTTTGACATTGCCACCTTAATGTATTCCTCACCTGCCACCAACAGAGAAATCAGAGATAGCATAGAAGTACGAGCGCAAGACTTTCGCATCCTTGAAGAACTCGTCACCAAATGTGTTAATCCTGTCCAATGAGATGATCAGGTCAGAAGCTGTCACCCATTCCTGTGAGGAGACACCAATGGAGACAGAGTCAGTCGCAAGAGAATTTCTGCTGTTCATTTGAAAAGAACCAAATGCTTTATATACGTATATTGGAGCAGTCAACAGTATTAACTGGTCTACAGTCGCTCGCATCCATTTGGCACAGATACAGATACATGCTGGGCCGTGACATGGTATTTGAAGCTCAAGCATGTGTCAAAATGACAACATGTGTATCAACTATGTGTTGAAGAGCGCAAAGATAAATAGTGGGACAGTGACATCATTAGATATACAGTGTGCTTCATTCTGCTCATGCATTTGATGTTTTGTGAAAAATATTTTTTTTCTCACCAGGTCATAACCTACCTCCATGTCTTAACTACCTCGAAAATATTAAAATTGGGGAAAGCAATCATTTGATTAACCTTTAATAATTTAAATAAAATTCCAATGAAGGTTAGTAAAAAAAAGATTTTGGTGTTAAAGTCAGACACATTTTAAAAATGTAACATATGTCTTAAAACTTTTCAAGGCAAATTTAATAGACAAAAATGAAGTTTGACAAAAGGGTGAAATGCACAATAGAAACTAGAACACGTGTCAAACTCAGGCCCGGGGACCAAATCTGGCCCGCGGTGTAATTACATTTGGCCTGTGAGATCATATCAAATGTGTACTAGGGTTGGCCCGCCAGTATACAGCACCAATATACTGGCAGGATTTGTAGTATTAGATGTGTATGCGCTATGTTATAGCACATACATTTTTTGATGTTTTATTTTAAATTTAATTTCTTATGTGTTTATATTATTAAGCTTTGGTTGTTGCAGATTCAATGTTCACACAAAACTAAAGTTTGTTTCCATATGAAAAAAAATCTACATTACATCTGGAAAAAAGGAAAACATGCACAATTGCAATCAATTTTCCAATAAATAATAAGTTTGTCCCACAACTTCGTCCCAATTTTTAATTTTGGCCCACTGTGGATTTGAGTTTGACACCCCCTGACCTAGAACATTACAGCATCACTTCACAATGGCTGACACTTTGCAACACTTCCTTCCCTGGTATGATTTAAGCCTCTCTGTCTCTGTAAAGGTAAAAGGTACAGAGGGAGGGAAACACAAAGAGAAAGTGCAGTCATGGGCGGAAGATAAAAGTGAGGCCATGTACAGCAGGAAAATGACGTGAGTAATCTCTTACCTGTAAACCTACTTTCAAACAAATTACAGGACAGAAACTTTCTGTCAGTTTCTTGGCTTGTTTAGACCAACGTGACAACAAAGAAAAAGTCTGTGATCTGGTGTGTTTTGAAGCTTTCTTCCAGAGGATTTTGTCCTCTGGGATAGTGGGATAGAGAAGAGACAGCAGCAGAGGGACCTCAGTCTCAATTTTTGGTTAAAATGCCAAGACATTGTGATAACCATGGAAACATGTGAAGACAGGTCTCTGATGCGTCTGAGGCAGCTTTTAAAAGTCCTTCATGTTTTTCACTAAATTTGAACGGAAACTGATTTTAATTAAAGATGTGTAGATGGATGGATGGACAGATGGATGGACAGACAAACAGACTGATAGACAGAGAGATAAATGTTAGATACTCTCCTCGAAATTGTAGTCATCTTAAAAGAATAGTTTGTTCAGAGTGTCCACCTCCCTGCTGAAATGGAGATGGTCTTTGGATTTATACCACCAGCATGGCCTGTGTCTGCAGTTTCAAAGGACGCTCTACCCCAGGGTCAAAAGGTCATTGGCCTAATCAGAACATCTGGTGTGGGTATGTTACACATGTGTTCCTGAGGGACTTGACCTCATCACCTACTAAACTGCAGTATCGCCTCTGAGCTATTTTTATTCGTGACTTTTAACAGGTCAGCAAGGAGTAGATTTTTGTTACAAATTGTTAACTGGTAAATTACTAAGGATATTAGTTAAGTATATGGAGCTAAACTTCGAGTAATACTCTCAAATATTCTTGACATTTTCCTGATAAATTCTATCATTTAGTTGGATTAGTCACAAATAAATACATTTTTTTAATTTTTCCCTCTTTCTTTGCCAGTGTGACATACATAACGCCCCCTATAGGCTGGTGTATAACTCGTCACAACTCAGCTTTGAAGTTGCTTTATTGTAGCAAGCATAAGCAGAGTGGGGTGCAGTTGGCCGGCAAGCTATTGTTACGGCTCTTGCTTATCGACTTTGCCCCTGCTTGACATACCTCCACTGGCTAATGGCGTTTGGACAACAGTGAATGATCCTGATGGACTGCAGTTGCCAGGGAAGACAGATGCTCATTCTTCGTTCGGCGTTACACTACCTGGACATGATATGATTTTCATGGTTTATGCGAGTGGCTGTGAATTTCTGTGCAGAAAACAAAGGGAGAGAATACACAGGGAGGATATGAGGTGACTCATCCTGCAAGAGCTGAATGAATGACTTCACATCCATCAGTCTTAGGAAGAAATGTTGTCTTATAATCCAGACTTTAATTCTAAACTAAATCTAAGGTCATGTTAAACCTTTTCTGAAAAGAAATATATACAATACCTCCAGATTCCTTTAAAGGAATCCATTATGGTATATTCAGAAATAAGGGTTTTATTCTTTTCTTTAGCATGTTTGCTACCTCCCAACTTGTTGAACTGCTGATATCTGAAGAACGGCAAGTCAGCTGTGCACAGGAACAAATGAGTTCTGCATAAAGGAAGAAATTGTCTGCTTATGGTTCTTAACAAATGCACAGCACACTTCATTGATAATGTGAGTGTTTATAATGTACACACAGTAAAGTTAATATAGGAGTGAAAATAGAATGAGAGAGATGCAGTTTCTCAGCATGTAGAGCATGAAGAGTCAAACCACTGTTACTATACATTAAACTGTTTGTCTGGACTTCACATCACTATGGTTTGTCTCACGGTAACTGTAAATTTCTGCATATTAGGACATTAATGACTCCCATGTTTTATGGCGACTTAGTTAAGTCGACAAATTGTTCGGTGACAGAGGAGGAACTACACAGACACACACGTCCAACAATGATCATGTAACTCTCCATACATATTTATCTTAGCTTTTCTAAATGGAGAAAACACAGCAATCAGTTGTTCAGTGAGATGGTTTCATCTCATGTCACATTGAAGATTTTTTTTTGTTTAATGTTCATTAGAACTGCTTTTTCTTATGGATGCCTGTTGTAAATGATTGGCAACTTGATGTGTTGAGTACATTTTCCTTACGTTCTTAGTTGTGACATTAGGTTAAACAACCAATCAGAGGTAAAGATGAGTGAGATGGTGAGAGCATATGCTGAAGAAAAACACTTTTCTTCTTATTTCAGCAGATGTTGACTTGTGCCACTCATGTCAACACGTCGACCAAACAAAATACTGTATGAATTGATTCAATCATCTTCTAACTTAACACACAGTGTGGCAGGAGAGCTGGAGCCAATCACAGCAGTGATTTGAACCCGGTACAGTTCACCAGTCAATGACAGGGTCACGTATTCACAAACATCCATTCACACATACACTCACCTACGCTGGAATACCAAGAGAAAACCACACACCAACACACATAGCCTTCATACACACATCATCAATTATAAGGATCTAACTAATGATCTTGAGCCCTCTACCACTTCTTCAACATGTTCCCCCTGTGTGCTAACAAACATTGTAGTGAATAATTATTGTTATTATATTATTCTTGGTTGCCTGCTGAGTGTTTTGAACAACAGTGTCTTCTTGAAACTAGCAACAGAAGACAATTTCACATAAACAAAATAGTGTCATTAGAAATATGTAAACAACAATTCACAATCTTCTCTGCTGTTCAGCTCTTCTGTCTAAATTATATTTAGTACGTTTTATTTTCAGTACTGTACGAGCTAGAGTTTGTAACCATTCTGACTCCAAAAATTATAAAAATGGAAGCGCAAAAGTAGCCGCCCGTTATAAAGGAAGGTCCTTGTTAAAATACATATAGGCTCATTTTAATTTGAGCTATACCAACTTTTATTTAAAGGTACAAACTTGGTGTTAATTGGAAGAAATCCCACCACTGTGATAATCTTGTTGTGTTCAGTTTAATGTGGTCTCGAACATGTTTTTGATCCTGTCTCGTTTCAAGAAATTAGGAAAATGGCATACAGGTCATGACCTGACCTTTTAGTAAGTATTTAAATAATTATTTGACGGCACTGACTCTGATCTGCAATCTAAACGGGCAACAATGACAACTGTGCTAATGAGGAGACATTTAAGACACCAGCAGTGTGTCGTTGTATCTATCACCTCAGCACTAGTGCGTTAACACTTACACATGATAAAAGGTTTGGAATTTATTGTTAGCATTTCAAAATTCATAAAAGCCAACACTCCCATCCGTTTATCATAGAGTACAAGACCATTATCGTATGGAAGAGTTATTAGTTATGCTTGGTAGAACAGTGCTAATTGTGTAAGGCAACGCAGACGTAGCTCCAAATATCACTCGGTGAAGGAAACATTTTCTTAGGGTTAATTAGTAGTGGTCCCATTACTTATTATTTGTGCAAACCACAGCAAAAGCTTAATTAACTTTGATTCTCACTCCCTTGGAATTTGGGCTAACAAAGCTACAATGATGCTGACTTAGGGGTAGACTGAGGCATCAAGTATTGCAATAAGGCAAGTACTACAAAAAAAAACAAAAAACCAGAAAACAGCATGATAATTAAAATGAACAGAATTATTTACAGTATATGCACATACATTCATTTTTGAAATTTAAAAAATAAGTGGTCCAGTGGTCAACTTTACTGAGGGGCTAATAAACCTTATCGCTCACCTAAAATCTCCCCCCGTCTGGCTCCTTCTCTCCCCTCTCAGTGTGTTTTCTTGAACTCAGATGCTTCTGGCTGCAGGCAGTGACAGAAGGGAGCAAAGAGAGTTGTATGCCTCATTCCAGAGTTAATAACTTTTTAATATAATTGCTTAAGTTCACCGTGCCCTCAATATATACCT